CTTGTTAGCCATGATGGGCGGGTCACAGGGGACTCGGATCAACTGGGTCAGTGCCTGTTAACCTGGAAGTACATTTGTGGGTGCTTGGAGAGCTGGGGAGGGCCCCCAGGAAGCTGCTTTTTAGCGAGCACCCTCCCTGAGACTTCTATGTGTTCCTAGGCAGGTTTGGGAATCACTGATCTCCCCAGGGTCTTCGTCTACACTGGGAGAAAGGCAAGTCCAGGGAGGTAGTGGTCCCACTGTGCGCTTTCCCTGTGCCCGGTGAGCATGTACGCATGTGTGTGTAGTGGTGGGAGAAGAGCCAGGTTGGGGTCGGGTCCTGGAGGCCTCCCATGCTAGGAGCCTGGGGTGGCCACGCTCAGTGAGCAAATGCAGGTGCAGAGCCCAAGGCCGGTCTGTCTGTGTGTGCACCGCCTTCGTTAGTCACCAGTGGTGTTAGAGGAGTTCACAGGCGATCCTGGGCTGACAGCCCCAGATCCTCGAGTTCAAAAATGGCCCCGTGGTCTCTGGAGCCCCAGCGCAGGACGTGGCACTCAGCTGGAGACCCTGAGAGCCATGAGCTGAGCTCAGGGGTGTGCGGATGGGCTGGCAGGGGCTGGAGGTAAGGGTCCCGGGGCTGCCCTGCAAAGAAGGGACCCCCGAGGATGAGGGCAGCAAGGGGCCGACTTCCAGGTGTCAGGCTTGGCTGTAGCCGTGGTGCCGCTGAAGCCGGGTCCAGGAGGCTGGCAAAGCTGTGGGGTTGGTTCCAGGAGCCTCAGCATGGCTGGAGGAGCCGAGTTGATCAGAGGTGGGAGCTGATGTGCCGGACGCCAAAGCCAAGGGCTGACCCAGCGCTGGATCCCTGCGAGGCGGGGGACAGGTGGCCTGGGCCATGGCACCCTCGCCTTGGACAAGAAGTGAGACGTCCAGGGGCTCGGGAGGGGTGTAACCATTGCCAGCGGATGAGAGACTTCAGGTGTTCTGATGTTCTGGAATGTTCTCTGGGGCCAGGTGGCAGTTGTGGATTGGCTTTGAGGTGGTTGCCTGGAGAAGCTTGAGCCGTGGCCGTGGGTTGGCTGGGGGCTGATGGTGCGGGAGCCCCACCTTGCGTGGCCTGGGGCTGGTGGGCTGGCGGGGTGGGCCCGGCCTGCGCTGTGGCAGGCTGCTACTGGGCATGAGGCCCGTGCTGTGACCTACCAAACCTCAGCCTCCAGGAAGGAGGCTAAAAATAAGGCTGTGGTGACGGAGGGAGGGGGTGGTGGGCCTGCGCCAGGCTGGAGCCCAGAGGAAAATCTGAGGCGACCAGCAAGCTGCTGTGACACACGCTTCCCACGCCAGCGGCCAGCGGCCTCTCACCCTCCTGTGGCCACGGCCGGAAGAGGGGAAGAAGGCCCAGAAATGTTCACAAGGGCCTGGCCTTGGGCTCTGCTCCCTGGGAGGTTTCTCTGCCTGGACCCAAGGCCTCGGACCCACGGCTGGGCTCCAAGGGAGAAGGGGTGCAAGGGAGGGCACCCACATTTTCCTGTGTCCTCATGGGGTCGAGACTGTCTAGGGCTTTCCAGGGACCTTGGACTCCCTTTGGGATGTGGAGGAATGTGCCTCCCTCTTCCAGGGGCTCTCTGCAGTAGAGGAAGTCAGGGCAAGCTTCCTGGAGGAAGAAGCCAATGCTGGGGCTTGAAATCATTGGATGGGAGCAGGCGTTTGGCATCTCATATCTGAATGCTTGGTTCCAGTTCCAGCTTCCTGCTAATGTACCCGGGGAGGGGTGGGGCGCAGCAGGTGATGGCCCAAGTGCTTGGTGCCCTGCCACCCATGTGGGGGACCTGGATGGAGCTCCAGGCTCCTGGCTTCAGCCTGGCCAAGTTCTGGCTGCTGCGGGCATTTGGGGAGTGAACCAGCAGACCAAAGAGCTCTGTGTCTCTCTGCCTTCCAGATACATAGAAAGTTTGGATGGGGAGGTGTCTAACTGGAAGGCCGGGATGTGCCGCGAGGAGCTGTGGACGCGTGCCGTCCTATGCCACCCTCTCTGCATGTCCCTCCCAGCGTGCACCTGTTACGGCCCGAGGTCCCCTCTCAGGGCTGTGGGTGGGGCCCCTCCTGCCACCTCCCTTCATCCTCCCGACGCCAGCCCTGGGATAGCCCCTGTTCTGGGTTCTGGAGTTGGCTCACCGTGTCCCTGGCCTCACCTGCGGCCTGGCGGGGGCGGGGGGGATGTTCTCCCTTCCACCCTCACATCCACCCCACAGAAATGCTGTGGGCCCTGGGCTGGGGGACAAGAGCAAGCCCTGCGGAGGCCCCCTGGCGCAAGAGCTCTGAGACCTGGGTGCTGCTGGGAAATGTGTGTTTGTTGTCTTCCTGTTCCCTGGCACACAGCTCCGTAAACCCTGAGGGCCTCGAGTGAGAAGCAGGTCTCAAAGGCGAGTGAGCCGGCCTGTGGGCTCGGCTGCTGCAGGCCGGGGCTGGCCCCTCGGAAGACCGAGGCAGGGCTGCATGGCTGGACTCCCGGGTTCATCTTCCGCCCTCCAGAGGGACTGAAGGGGGAGTTGGTCACCAAAGGCCAGTGATGCAGTCAATCACTCTGATGACCATAAACCCCCAAAAGGCTCCCGGAACACACGGGGGCCGTGGGAGCTCCTGGGCCTTTCTCCGCGCCTTGCCCCATGCACGGCTCCACCTCTGTCCTCCTTTATGATAAACCGGCCCATGTGGCCCTGAGTTCTGTGAGCCACTCAAGCAAATGGCTTGAGCTCCAGCAGGGGTCATGGGGACTCTGGTTGGTAGCCAGCTGATGACAAGCCCCGGGACAGCAGTGTGGGGCCTGCAGCTGGCACCTGAGGTTCGGGGCACAGTCTCGGGGACTCAGCCCTCGGCACCTGATGCTGCCTCCAGGTGGATGAAGTCAGAACAGACTTGGGCCCGAGGACAGCCGGGTGGGCTCCGTGGACTCCCTGCTTGCTTGTCGGGTAGGGAGGTGGCCTCTGCCTTGGCTGTCAGAGTGCTCCGTGTCGTGCGCCAGCAGTAGGAAGTAGCAGAGTGGATTGTGCCCCCCTCAGTATTCTCAGTCCTGGTTTCAGATCGCCCTCTGCATCCCAGTGTGCTGAGTGACACATGGCTTCGTGTCCTCTGTGGAAAGGGGAGGATGGTCACACCAGCACCGTGTGCAAGGATGCAAAGATACCCCGTGGAGCCTTGGACGGTGCCTGGAACTCGGCAGGAGCCAGCCAACCAGTGGCTGTTAGCTCCTGGCCACACTCAGTCCCAGGAGCCCATATCACATCCACAGGCATGGGAGCTAACGTGAGGGGCCGTGGAGAATGGGGGCAGCTAACTTGGTAAGGGTGGTGGGAGGGGAGAGGTCAGGGAAGACTCCTCCCTCCATCTGCACTCATTCTTAAGGGAGCGGCAGGACTGGGCATGGCGCATGGGACTGTTGGGATAGCAGAGGCCCCTGTGGACTTGGGGGTGTGGGCAAGAGGGGTGGCAGGGCTGAACCTGCAGCCTGTGTCCCGGTGGAGTGCTGGGGAGCCGCAGGTGATGGTGGCTCAGAGATGGAAGGGACCACGCTGCAGAAGGACCGGGTCGCGGGCTGGATGGCGAGTGAGATCAGGCCCATTCCTGCCACCTGCCAGCCGCTATGGGGCTCTGGGCCTCTGAGGCCAAGTCAGGGCCCTTGGAGGTCCCCCTTTGGTGGCCCTGCCACTGCAGGCGCAGGACCAGCCCCCGCCTTCTGCCTTCAAGGCAAGGCCACAGTCCCGCAGTGGTTGTTAAGTCATTAACGGCCTCTCACAGCCTCTTCATTACGGGTAATTATGGTGATCCACTTGGGGCATTAACAAGGAGGGGCCGGCTCCTCGGGCTGTCAGGCTGCCGGGATCCCAGCCGGCTCCAACCCAGCATCCTGGGAGGGCGACTGGTCCTGCCTGGGTCTATAGAATGATGGGGACAGTCAGCTCTGCCCACCTGTCGGGCTGGACCCTCAGAGCCTGCGGCTTAACCTGCCAGGCCTCAGTTTCCTCATCTGTCAAGTGGGGGAATAGCACCGGCCTCCTAGGCCAGCTGAGCATTAACCAGATCAGGACGCAGTTGACAACCCATGGTGAAGAGCTCTGGGCATCCTCAAGGGCCTCTCTTCCCCGCCTCGGGGGGCTTCCAAGGAGAGGGAGGGCCCTTCTCTTCCCTTCTCCCCAGTGTCTCTGCAGATGTGTGTGGTCAGGGGGCTCTGGCACAGGTCCTGTTGTCCTCAGCAGTTGAGGCAGAGGTGCCGGGGGGCCAGCAGGGCTGGGGACTGTGCTTAGGAGGCCTGGCTTCGCACTCCAGGGGAGAGGGGCCCAAGACTGTGCCGGCCCCAGCGGCCGTGGCTGTGATTGCCGGCAGCCGTGGGAGGTGTCTCGGCTTCCACCTGCCCCCTGGGCGTGCAGGACCCGCCTGGGGGAGTAGAGCAGCTCACACACCTCCAGGAGTCCCCTTCCCCAAGGAAGCAGGTCTGGAGCCTCACCTGCTGCCCTGTGCATCCTGGCTCCTGCACCCGAAACTTGGTGGTCTCGGTTATAATTCCCAAGGGCAGCTGATGTGTGTGTGTGTGTGTGTGTGCGCATGTGCGTGTGCGTGTGTGCGTGTGCACAGGTATGAGTGAGCCAGTGGGTGTTGCTGCCCCACGGGCAGAGCCTAGGTTGGTGCTCAGGTCCCAGCACCTCATCTCAGGCCAGGCTACAGGTGAGCCGGGGCCCAGGCTGCCAGATAGGGGGTGCGGCTCACCTGTTTCCACAATTCAGATCTCTGTGGTGGCTGAGAGGTGGGACCCCAACCCCGGGTTGAGCTCCGAGAGGGAGCTGGGCCTCTGAGGTCCCCAGAGGCCTGGAAAGACTGGAGGCCATGGCAGAGAGAGGATCCTGCTGAGGGGCCCGGGGTAGGCTGGGCCAGGCCGTGACTGGGGTCTCCCTGCTGGGGTGGGGTGGGGTGGGGTGAAGAGGGCGCCGGGAGCCAAGCTTCACCGCTAAGCATCCCCTGTCTTCCCCCCACAGGGGTCCTCCTGGACATCCAGCAGCACTTTGGGGTCAAGGACAGAGGCGCCGGCTTGCTGCAGTCAGGTGAGGCCCCCTCCCCTCTCCGCTCCCTCCCTCGCGTCAGCATCTCCGGTCCTCCTCTCTCCCCTAGTCCTGACTCTGTGAACAGTGGGGGCCCTGCCCCGGGGCCCGCCGTTGTCACCCACAAATGGTGCCAGCTCGCTGAGCCTCTACTGCTTTCCTTGAGAACAAAATGAAGGCCTGCCACCTGCCTGGAGGGGCACTGGGAGCTGAGTGAGAACGCGGGCCCGGGGCCCAGACCGCAGAGTGCCCTTTCGCTGGGGTCCCAGGCTCTGTCGGGATCAGTGATGCGGGGTGCGCTCCGAGAGGACAGGGGGACCTTGGGAGCTGGGGGAGGCCCCCCGAGCCTTGGAGCCTTGTTTGTGTTACTCTGTCTCTTCTACCCATTCCTTCCAACTCTGGGAATCAATTCTTAGATGACAAAGCAGAAAATGCCACTTAGGCAGCCCCACACCCAGGATAAGAGTCTGAGAACCTGGGTCCTAGGCTGGACATGGGCTTGGAGCTCCTGGTCCCCTGAGGCCCCGGCCTTGGGATGGGCTGCCACGGGCAGGGTTCGGGCAGTGTGGGAGGCCAGTGCAGTTATCCCAGCCTTTCGGCCTCTCCCTCCAGGGACCACATCTCCCTTGTCCCTGCTCCCCACATGTCCTGTCGGACTTGAGCTGCCGGCTCTCTGGCCTGGCTGTAGCCATGTGGGCTGTGCCCTCGCTGGAGTCCTGAGAGCTAGGCGGAGAGTCAGTCCAGGGCAGGGGCTCAGGGGGCCTTGTCCTGACTTGACCCTCACCTTGCTGTGTGACCTTGGCCTAATGGCTGCCCATCTTGGGCCCTGGACTCGGGTATGTTGGAGAAGCACCGTGGTTTGCATTCCATGAACCCCTTCCCCTGCCTGGCTCTCCTTGCAGGGAGGCGGGGATGAACCCCGGCCAGGAACCTGCCTGACCTGTCTGGGTGGCATTCCGGTGTGCACATGAGCTCATACCATGTTTTGGCCATGGCCACGTAGCCCGCCTGGCCTCCTGGCCTTGGATCCTGGGTGGGGCTCAGAGCCAGGCTGTGCAATGGTTCTGGTGGTTAGGCCTCATATGTGAGACTTGACTGAGCCAGGGTGAGCAAGGTCGTGTAGTTCAGTGTCCCCCAAGGGTGGCCAGCTCCCTGCCCTGGCTCGGTTATAATTCCCCTTCCCCCGCCCTGTGAACATGCATACACCCAGGCCTCCCTGGCTGGGTCAGAACAAGTCGGCCTGAGACGGGTGCCCCAGCCTCCCGGGCTCCACACATGCAGAGCTGGGAGGGAGCAGCTCAAGACAGATGAGGGGCCGGCGCTGCGGCTCACCAGGCTAATCCTCCGCCTTGCGGCGCCGGCACACCGGGTTCTAGTCCCGGTCGGGGCGCCGGATTCTGTCCCGGTTGCCCCTCTTCCAGGCCAGCTCTCTGCTGTGGCCAGGGAGTGCAGTGGAGGATGGCCCAAGTGCTTGGGCCCTGCACCCCATGGGAGACCAGGAGAAGCACCTGGCTCCTGGCTTCGGATCAGCGTGGTGCGTAGGCCGCGGCGGCCATTGGAGGGTGAACCAACGGCAAAAGGAAGACCTTTCTCTCTGTCTCTCTCTCTCTCTCACTGTCCCCTCTGCCTGTGGAAAAAAAAATTAAAAAATAAATAAATAAAAAAGACAGATGAGGGCGTGGGAAGCAGCTGGTGAGCAAGGGGCAGGAGAGGGTCAGCCGCCAGCCCCCCCCCTGCGTGGTCCCTTGAGACACTGGGGACCTGGCTCGTGCTGTATCCCTTCTGGTCCCGGCCTTGCCCATGGATCGGAGCAAGGCTTTCCCCTGATCCTCCTCCACTTGACCCCCAGTGCTGCGGACTGAGCCACACGGCCTTCTGGGGGTGGGGGGTGTCAGCCCAGGGCAGTTGTGAAGCTCAGAGCACCCTAGTTTCTTCCAGTGCCCCAGACGTGGCTCTGGGCAGGGAAGTCGCACAGCCTCTCCTCCTCCTGGCCACATGGTTGTAGGTGGACAAGCCTCCCCTTCCCACCCCCCGGCAGTGTCTCCTTTGATTCGTCCTGTGACCCCAGGGATCCTCCTGTGTCAGCTGCCTTTGCCGAGGGGATGGAGCCAAAGAGGGGCAGCGACTTGGCTAAGGTCATGTGGTGAGAGTCACCAGCTTGGAGTAGGGAGCCCCATCGCTGCCGCCTATGTGGCTTGGGGAACCCTGGCGTCCACCTTCTTGGTGTCCCCGGAGGGTGGCTCTATGCCATCATGGAACCCAGCTTTCCCAGAGACCCGTGGGCCCACACCCTGTGGCCCTTCCCTGCCACCTACCCTGGCACAGCTGCGATGGCTCCCAGGGAGCCCTCAGCCCCTTGGCCATTTGAGCCAAGAAGCCAGGCGAGCTAGACCAGGATGTGACTCAGTGGGCAACTCGGCAAGTCACCTAATTGGCCTGTGCCCCGGGCACCTGTCTCTTCCCGAAGCCTGATAAGGTCGGAGCCAGGTGGAGGGCGCCAGCCAGATGTTGGTGCTTGCCCAGATCAAAGGGCCAGGGCTGGGAGCTGGGCTGCCTGCTTATTTGTGGGCACCAGGGGCTGCTGGGCTGGGAGACGGGGTGGGGGTGACTGAGGGCCAGGCCCGGGCCTGCCCTGCCCCTGCCGTGCCCCCCGGCCCAGAGCAGGGGAGCTGGCTGGGAAAGGCCTCTCCAGGCAGCCCCGCTTACTTGCTTGTAGCCCCCAGCTCAGCTTCTGAGATAGCCCATGGCAGATCCTTGGTCTGGATGTTTGGGGGATGTGAGAGGCACCCCCCGTGGCTTATACCCAAAGAGACAGCTGCCGCCACCCTGCTGCTGGCCAGGCCCTGTGTTGAGCTCTGCCCAGACTCTCTTTATCCGTGGGAGCAGACAACAACTCATCCCATCACCACCCAGGCCTGGGGGCACTCTGGGAGCCCAGGTGGAGGGCAGAGAGGGCACCTGGCTCTGGCTGGGGGCAGTAGACAAGGTGTCCCTGAGGAAGGGACCTGGGAGTGGGGCTTGGAAGGGTGAGTTGGAAGGGCGAGGGCTTGGAGCCAGTTTGTTGGAGGGGCCATGGGAGAAACCCCTCGGCTGCTAAGCTGGAAGAAGTCCGCCATGCAAACCTGTCTAAATGCCGTGGCTGAGCGCAAAGGCATGAGCTGGCGGGGAGATTCTTGGGTGCTGGGAGCGAGGAGCTGAGCTCACACGTGGAGCGGGAGCTGGCACAGAGGCCAAGGGACGCGGAGGGCTGGGGACCAGGTGTATCTCCCAGAGGCTCATCACAGTGTCTTCAGTAGAGACAGTCGCACTGGGAAACACTCTCAACCCACATAAAAGCAGAGAGGACAACGAACGTCCATAGACTCATCACCCACGTGCAGCAGAGCCGCCCGTCTGGCCCAGTTTCCAGGCTCCGGGCGGCTTTGAGGTCTGGACAGTGCAGGCCCGAGTTCCAGCGGCACGTGGGTCTCAGTTCCCACCTGTGTTCAGGACAAGGTTCCTGTTTCCCTTAAAGTTTTTTTTTAATTTTTTCATTTATTTGAAAAGAAGGACCCCCCCTCCCCTGCCACACACACACACACATACACAGATGGTCCTTCTGCTTGGTTACTCCCCCAAAGCCAGGGGCCTGGAACTCGATCCAGTTCTTCTATCTGGGTGCAGGGATCAAGTACTCGAGTCATCTCCTGCTGCCACCCAGGGTGTGGACGCTGATCAGAGGGGAAGCTGGGACTTGAACTTGGGCCTCCTGCCGTAGGACATGGTGTCCCAAACAACATCTCCACTGCCGCACCAAGTGCCCTCCCCTTGTTGCTGATTCCGAGCTGTGTGCCCGCTGGTGGGCAGTTTCTGTTTCAGGTGGTATTCTCTTTCAGGGCACAGACACTTGTGGCTGTGACTATGCAGAGCCTGGTTTCCGTCCCTGCTGGTGCAGGTCTGGGACTTCCAGTCTCTTCCTCCTGCTCCCAGGGAGGCGGTCACGGATGACCCAGAACCGGCATGGGAGGCGGGTGACCATTCCTGCCGAAGACAAAGTTAGCAGAGCACACAGGGGTTTTTTTTTTTTTTTTTTTTCTTTTTCTCCCTCATATCTTCCAAGATTTATTTATTTGAGAATCAGAGGCACAGACAGAGGGAGAGACAGAGAGAAAGGTCTTCCATCTGCTGGTTCACTCCCCAAATGGCTGCAATGGCCGGAGCTGTGCCAATCCAAAGCCAGGAGCCAGGAGCTTCTTCCAGGTCTCCCAAGCAAGTGCAGGGGCCCAAGGACTTGAGCCATCTTCTACTGCTTTCCCAGGCTGTAGCAGAGAGCCGGATTGGAAGAGGAGCAGCCAGGTCTCGAACTGGCACCCATATGGGATGCTGGCGCCGCAGGCAGAGGATTTACCTACTGCGCCACGGCGCCGGCCCCAGCACACAGGATTGGTGAGAGCAGGTCAGTGGGCTCCCAGCAGGACGAGGCCTGAAGAGCCGCAGGTATTACACTCGCCTGAAAGGCACTGACAGTTCACAGCTCCAAAGGAAAGAGTAGCATTTCCAAGACAGGAACAGCACCTGGTGAAAAACAGAGATGTTTACCAGATCCAAGTTCAACGCTCTAAAGGTGAACAATGCAAGCATTAGACATTTGGTAATGAGATGGGTTAACGAAGAGGAGAGACCCAGCTGAGGAGAAAATCAGTGAATTAGAAGGCGAGTCTGGGGACATCAGCATAAGGCAGCACACAGGGAGGCAGGCGGGAGTGAAGACCCGGTGCCACGCTGCCTGGCTTCAGCAACCTGGGCTGGTGGGGGAGGGGTGGGGCGGACGCTGGGCGGGGCCTTAGGGTGGGGGCTGGAAGGCTAGAGAAGACATCTTGGAGCAATAGGGTGCCCAAGGAGTTCTGGGCGCAGGGCAGGCCCGAGTACAGTGTGTGCATCCGAATGTTTACTGGGGCCAAGAGTGGGGACTGTGTGGTAGAAGAGGCTGGAGGCTGCGTGGGGCTGGGGTTTGTGGGGTCACGAGGAGGCACCGGGATGGGGGTGGGGGAGCCGGGGCAGAGTGGGGACAGAGGAAGAGCCAGCTCAGACTGAAACCAGACTGTGCCTCTGCGCTGGGGCTACGTCTCCTTCTGCCCTTGGTCCTGGGCCCTCCTGGGCCCATCCAGTGATGTCCTCTGCAGAGCCAGGCCGTCCCTGTTCAAAGGGAGGCCCAGGGGCCAGGCCAGGGTACAAGGGGAGGGGGCTCCCGTGTGTTCTGCAGAGTGTGAGCGTGGTGGGCCGTCTGTCCTTGGTCCTCCTTGGGGAGAGCAGAGTCTGACCCCCGTCCAGCCTGTGCCCGCCAAGCGTCCTCCCTGCCCCCAGCACAGGGAGGGTGGTGAGTCTTCACTCAGGAACCGGGCAGCCAGTCTGGGCTGTATAAAAATAGCCCTGGTCCTGCCCAGGCCATGCAGGAAGCCAACACAGGCTCCGAGGCTGTGGAGTGGAGCCCAGGGGCCCCTGGCTCAGCCCTGGCTCTCTCCTGCCCTGAGACCACTTTCTGGGGTCACACAGGCCACAGGCACGGGGGACCTGGAGCTGCCAACAGCATAGAGCCTCCAGTGGGGGTTGCTTCGAGCTTTCGGGTGCTGTCAGCACCCTGGTCTCTGACGGCCATGGGAGGTGGCCAGCGCCCCCTCCCCTGACTTTCTGATGCTTCGCGCCAGCCCTGCAAGAAATGATGGGAGGAGGAGGAAGTGGAGGAGGAAGAAGTGAGGCCCAGTGCCCAAGCCCCTCTCCCCCTCAGGGGGCAGTGGGCGGGGTGCTGGCTCCTCCCACCCTGCTGTCCCCAGCCCTGCCCCCACCCTGGCTCCCTGCCCTGCAGCTCCATTGTCCCAGACCTGTAGGCTCAGCACACGGGAGTGAGCGAGGGCTTCCCCACACCCCGGCCACAGGATGTCCTTGTGTGGGAACTGCCGGGAAAGCCACTGCCACTGAGGTTGGGGCGGGGCCGCCAGGCTGCCCAGAAAGCTCTCCTCGAACAAACAAAGACCGCGAGTTTGGGGGCTGGTGGGCTGGGGAAGCTTCTAGCTGGGGGCCGGGCCTGGGCAGGTCTTTTTTCCAGCAGAGCTGCCTGCAGGCTGCACCGGCCTCTGGGTGCCCGCGCGACACGGTTCACCCGGTCAGGCCTTAGCCTTGGCCCCTGTGCCTTTTCTTCTGCTGGGAGCGCTATTCTTCTTCCCTTCCTTATGCTGACTGCGTCTAGGTCCCCAGCTGGCCTAAGCTGGCTCCCTGGACTGAGACGGGTCCTCACTGCTGTCTACCCTGTTTGAAGGGGGGCACTGCAAACAGGGCTGGACCCCAGCTCCCGCCCGCCCCTGAGTTCCCTTGTCCCCAAGGGCCGGGCGGTGGTCCCAGACCCTGCCTGACTTGCCATGGTGTCTGAGGCACGTTCCTCCACCTCTCAGTGTCTCGGTGACCCCAGCTCAGTGAGGCTCAGATGCATGGTGATCTCGGCCAGGTGGGAGCCAGCAGGTGCAGGCGGCTGTGTCTGCTTCCAACTTGACCTCCAGCCCAAGTGCTTCTGTCCACTGGGATGAGCGGGCAGGCAGCAGGCGGGGCTGCCTCTTTCTCCACGGCAGGCCTGGAGATTGGGGGTGGCCAGGGTCTGTGCGGGGGACTGCGCATGCTGGGACTCTCCAGGGCCCCTCCAACCGAAAGCCAAATCTGGTGCAGGTCCTCCCTGGCCCTCCCCGGCCTGCTGGTGCCACAGCCTGACCTGTCTCCCTGCTGTCCCCAGCACGTCTGCACCTTCTCTGACCTCGGAATGTCGGCTGGGACCTTTCCCCTGCGCTGCCCAGTGGTCAGTCTGTGATGGGATTTAGAGCGAGGATGCTGGAGCCCGCCTACTGGGGGCTCGTGTCCTGGCCCCGCCACACACTCGCTCTCCTCCCCATGTCTCCTCTGTGAGACGAAGATAACAGAACCAGATGAGAGCATATGCGTGTGTGTCAGGGTGCATCCCAGTGCCTGTGTAATAAGTGCTCCATAAATGATAATTGCAGTTATGATTAACAATAAGTATGCCTCGTTAACCACTATACGACGTTGCTTACGAGACGTGGGATTTGTGTTTTAGTGTATGTTAGCGGTTTTATGTGTTGGTATCATGGCAAACTCCTATGCATGCGTTCACGTCACCATGGCCAAAAGCCTTCCTTCCCTCTCCTGGCTGCTTCCCCCAGCGTTTTAGCTCCTGGGCAGCCCCCGAATGGGACCTGTTCCCCGGCCAGACGCGAGGCAGCCCCTTCTCTGACTCTTGTCCACTGCCCCCTGCCCCTGGGCAAGGACAGGCGCAGAGGCCAAGTCGTCTTCCTCTCCTCCCCCGGAAGCCGTGCAAGTGCTGATGAGATTGAGTCTCCATCCTGCCCACATCCTGATGGGACTTGGGCCGGTCCTGGGACATGGGCCCAGCAGGAAGAATGCTGGTTCTCGCTATGAGGAAATAGCTTCTGCCTTGACTAATGTACACAAGGCCCGGTGCTGGTCGCGGCCGGCGGCTCTGAGCGGGGCGTGGCCCGGGCACCTTACGGGCAGCGGCTGGTCCAGTTCTCAGAGCCAGCGGGAGCTGCTATTTTTATCTTCCTCTGACAGATGAGGAAGTTGGCATGTGGGAGCTGGGCTCCTCCTGGCTGGTGAGAGCAGACTGTTGAATTTTCAGGAATTGTGTGAGCTGCTTGTTAAACACAGCCATTGTCAGAAACAAAATGATAGGAACTTACTGTTCCACAATTTATAGTAAAAACAAAGGCGATAGAGAAATACTCCAAAGTCGTCCTCCCTCCTTATCTCAATGCATTTGGCTGTTGCCCGTGACCTGCAGCCAGTGCCTGTGTTTTATTGGCAGGGTCACACCGATGCCGGCGGCAGTGCGTCCCTGTGCTCCTGCCCTGCCCTGCCCAGCCACGGTGGACATGTCCACTCGGGTTTTCTGCGAGCCGCTGTCGCGCCTTTCTCAGAGAGGTCAGCTCGCACGTGGTTGCCCAGCAAGGGAGGGACGAGGCAGGTCTGAGGTGGCAGAGTCCCCTGTACCTGTCTGCCGAGCCTGCCCTCCGCCATGGCTCCCACACTCATCGCCCTGCCCTCATAGCCTGACACTGACGTCACCCTCCTGCAGCCTAGGGCAGGGCCCGCCATCCAGTCCTCTCCCCTCCTGCCCCTCTTCTCTCCTCCCCCCCGGGTCTCGGGTCCTTCCACGCACACAGCCTGGCGGTCAGAGGCCAGCAACTGGCTGCCTTGTCTGCCCAGCCCCCGCATTGTCCGGCCATCTGCCCCTCAGCTGCAGGCTAAGGGGCTTTGTGACCCGGGGCCTGCCCTGCCTTTTCCTCCCACCTGGGGAGGTCCTCTAAGACTGTACCGCCTTCTTGTTCTGGAAGAACAAAACCAGCAGCCCTTTTGTTTGGCATCTTCTGTGTTCTGTTCTCGTCCCGGAGGCCACGGTCAGCAAAGTGGGTCACGAGGCCCTGCCCCATCTGGGCCCAGCCTTGTGTCCTACCCACGACCCCTCCGTCTCTCTGCTGCAGCCGCTCTGGCCTCTTGGCTGTTCCTCAAGTGTGAGGAGTACACTTTGCCCCAGGGCCTTTGAACTTACTGCTCTGGCCCCACTGTTTGCAAGATTTACTTCCTCATCTCCTCCAGGTCTTTGCTGCAATGTCCCCTTCTCTGATCGTCCACTTAGACTCGTGCTGCCTGCTTTGCCTCTCCCTTTCCTCACATGTACACTTCCTGTACGCTGTGTCCAGCCTTTCCCTCTCCTTAGTACCTGTCCCCATCTCATGCACTAACTTATTGTTTGAGCCATCGATTGATGATTGATTTCTCCTCCTTTCACTCTAGTGAAAGTCCCGGAGGGTGGGAATTTTTGTCTATTTTGTTCACTGTTGTGTCCCGGACACCTGTAATGATACCTGGTGCATTGTAGGTACTAAAAACAAACAACAAAAACACTGTTGAATGAGTAGAAGGCTGGGTGAATGGAAGGTGGATCGTTGAGTGAATGAACGAATGACTGACAGGGCTTCCGTCTGTCAGGAAGTAACAGCTGGAAGCAGGGGTGGCTGTGTGGTCTGGCAGGTGTGAGACCCACGGCTCCAGGCTGCCCTGATGTGCTGTGTGGCCTTGGGTGGATGGCTCCCCCTGCCGCCTCTGAACCTCTTCCCCAAGCCCCCTGAGAACAGAAGTGTGGCACATATCTGTCCAGTAGGAAGTTACAGCCTCTGCAGGGGGGGCCTCGTGCCAGTCACTCCCTTCCTGGGGTCTTCTCCATCTGTCAGATCCGGAGCCTGGCACGTGGGAAGCACTCAGCAGAGACAGGACAGACCCGGCCTGCGTGGGGGCGGGGCGGGGCGGGGTGGGGGTGTGACCTTGCTCCCCCGCTTCCTCGGAGGGGGCTGAGCCCTGTGTGGCAGCGCCAGGCCAGCGGGCCCTGCCCGGGACCCTGTGCCGCCTGCGAGCTTCCCTCTCCCCGCACAGTGTTCATCTGCAGCTTCATGGTGGCCGCCCCCATCTTCGGCTACCTGGGCGACCGCTTCAACAGGAAGGTGATCCTTAGCTGTGGCATCTTCTTCTGGTCGGCCGTCACCTTCTGCAGCTCCTTCATCCCCCAGCAGGTGAGCTCGTCCATCTTCCCGGGGGCCGCCAGGCTGCGGCCTGGGCTGCTCTAGCCCGGGGGTCCAGCTCTGTGGCCGGAATGCCAGTCAGTGCTGTCCAGGGCGGAAGGACAGGGTGGGGCGGCATGGACTCGGGGTGGGGGGCTTTCATCGGCCCGCCTTGTGGAGCGGGCCTGCCCCGTGCTGGCCTCACCTATGGGGCCTGCCCGGCCTCCCTGACTCCTTTCCTTTCTTTCTTTTTTTTTAAAATACAATTTATTTCTTTATTCGTTGTATTTAAGGCAGAGAGAGAGATCACGCATCCTCTGCCTTACTCCCCCAGGGTCTGCCGCAGGTGGGGCTGGGCCAGGAGCTTGGAATCCAAATCTGGGTCTCCCACCTGGGTGGTAGGAACCCTAGAACTTGAGCTGTCACCTGCTGCCTCCCAGGATGGGCAGCAGCAGGGCAGCCAGGGCTTGAACCAGGCGCTTGATCTGGGATGCCAGAGTTCCACGTGGCATCCGGACCCTTGAGCTGAATGCTTGTCCCCCTCCTATCCCTGAGCTGTCCCCTGACTGGGGAAGGATGCCAGCCAGGCTCGGGGGGAGCAAGCCTGGCCGAGCAGCAAGGACCCTGGTTCTAGTCCCGGCTCTGCCGCTGCCTTGCTGCGTGACCCTGCGTGAGTCACCAGCCCTCTCTGGGCCATGCTCAGTTTGCTGTCTGAGGAGCAGCAGTGAGCTCCCGGGACCCAGGTCCCGAGGGGGTCAAGGCCGGCCGTGCCTGGACATGCTCCTTGCTGGACGCCTGCGGGCTGGGTCTAGGTCGCCCTCTCTGTGGCCTGCTCAGCTCTGTGACTTGAGGAAGCCTCTCGACTGTTTCCTCATTGTGAGAACAGGGGTGACGCCACTGAGCTTGCAGGTCAGGTCCCCTGCGAGAAGTGGCTGAGCCAGTGAACGTCCAGACCCCAGAACACGGCAGGTGCTCTCCTGCTCCCATAGAGCAGGCGTGTTCCTGTGAGGGTGGTGAGGTCCCTGTCGCCAGGGGCATTCAAGGACACGGTGGACAATCACACGGCAGCTGCTGAGAGAGACGGGGGAAGCCAGGAGAAGACTAGGATTTTTTCTTTTTTTTTTTTTTAAAGATTTATTTTATTTGAAAGTTGGAGTTTCAGAGAAGGAGAGGCAGAGAGAGAGGCAGAGAGGCAGAGAGAGAAAGAGAGAGAGAGAATATCTTACATTTGCTGGTTCACTCCCCAAATGGTCATAATGGCTAGCTGGGCCAGCTCAAAGCCAGGAGTTTCATCCAGGTCTCCCACATGGGTGCAGGGGCCCAAGCACTTGGGCCATCCTCCACTGCTTTCCCAGGTGCATTAGCAGGAAGCGGGATGGGAAGTGGAACAGCCAGGACTCGAACCAGCATCTATGTGGGATGCTGGCACTGTAGGCAGTGGTTTTACCTGTTAGGCCACAACACTGGCCCTCAAGACCAGGATGTGTCCTCCAGGGGCTTTCTGCTGGGCCCTGTCCTTGGAACATCCAGGCTTGCAGATGGCAAAAGGTACAGACCATGGGCTCAGGGTCCCCACGGACGGAGGACACAGCATTGTCTAGAAATTCATGGGGTCAGGGAGGTCTTTCTGGAGGAGGCAGCCTGCGAGCTGGGCAGGCAAGACCTGGCAGTTAGGCCTCTTGGTGAAGACGGTGTGGGCAGAGGGAGCCAAGTGGCAGGTGCAGAAGAGGCGTGTGGGGCTGGTGAGGAAGGCAGGGGCTGGGTCCCCTCGTGTGGAACCTTGCATGCTGGGTGGGGGGGCTGGCTTTCCTCTCAGGGCAGCAATGGGCCCTGAAGGGTCTGGAGAAGCACAGTGGAGGAGCCAGGGTACGTGGGTGGAGGGGCTGTAGAATCAGCAGGTTTGCACGGGACAGCTTGGCTTCCCAGAAGGAAGTTCAGGCCCATGGAGCACTGAGCCCAGAGTGCTGGGGACAGCCTGGCGGCCATGGTGCTAGGGGCTGCTTAGACCAGACGTCCCCAGGGTCCCTTGGCCGCCTCCTGCCCCTGGGGTTGCTTTTGGGACTGAGAAGTGAGTCCAGGACCGTGATGCTAGGGCCGGACTCTGTGCCGGGCCGGGGAGAGATGAACCCGTCGGTTCTCGCAGTCACAGTCCAAGTCCCACAGAGGTTTTTGGTGGACCTTGGCGATGGGATTCGGCAGTTAATTTGGCAGGAAAACCACCCAGGGACAGCCAAGAACACTGCGAAACATAACAAGGAGGGGATTTGCCCGATCAGCTCGCAAAAACACAGCGGTTCCCAGTCCAACAGCCACGGCGATGGAGTCCGGCTCAAGGAAATCCTTGTTTCTATGGGGATTGAGTGTAGGGTGGAAGCTACATCCCAGCTCACTGGTTTGGGACCGGCTGTGCCTCTGCATGGATGGCCAAGCAGCCTGCGAACAAACTCCAGAGACGTGAAGGTCAAGCAGGAAGCCAGCTCCGCCAGTCTAGAGCATCTATGTCAATCAGCAGAACAAAGAGAAAGGACCCCAGGGCAAGATGAGACCAGGGTGCTTGTAGGAAGTCCCAGGAGAGGATACCCAAAGGGGCCCACGACGCAGGACCGCAGGGAGATGCAGGTCGCTTCACAGCCGTCAGATTGGCAACAATGGCAAGGGCCGCCAGTACCGAGTGTTACTGGGGCTGTGAGGAAGTCGGTCTCGGGCGCCGCTGGAGGGAGTGTGGACTGCTGAGCCTCTCTGGGGAGCAGAAAGGCAGGGTTTGACAGAATTCCAACCGCGCGCACCCTTCAACCCAGCCCGCTACTTGGAGGAATATTCCCGAGACAGGGACTCCGGCTCCACGCTGCACACGAGAGCGTCTCAGGAAACGGAATTAGCAGTTTACTTTTTGCAAAGCATTTTTTTGCAATCTATGCATAGTTTTTTTCTACCCATTTTTCATGAACTTTTCAAAGACTCCCCGTGTGCGTGGACTTCAAATTTGGGCACCAAAATGTTTGCCCTTTAAGTCCTTTATCCTGGGAGCAAGCGCTAGCTTAGCCTGGTGGTGAAGACCCCCACATCCCACATTTGGAGTCCGTGGGGTTGAGTCCCAGCTACCTTTCTGGACTCGAGTTTCCTGCGAATGCAGACCCTGGGAGGCAGCAGGGATGGCTCGACTGACTGGGTTCTTGCCACTCACACAGGAGACCTGCACAGTGCTCCCAGCTCTTGGCTTTGGCCCGCCCCGCAGCCCCCACTGCAGGCATCTGGAGAGAGCCAACAGACGGCCGCTCGCTCTGGCTCTCTGTCGCGCAAAGAAACCCATTTGAAAACTGCAATTCCATTCTCCACAAGCCTTTTGCAGTGCCCTGGTCCGGGCGAGGACTGACTGTGCTGGACAAAAAGCGGGAGCTCCCCACGAGGGTCTGTGTGACCCAGCAGCGATGGGTTTCAGAAAGACGCGAGGACAGGGAAAAAGCAAGTTGTACCAATGCAGTGAGAGGGTCTTTTACCAGCGCGCGGGCAGGACACTAAGTGGTGTTCACGGGTACCTAAGTGTGCAAGCCCAGGCAGAGATGGATTCACGACAAACCAAGAGTCTGGCAGGTCCCTGGGGAGCCGGCTGGGGGTTCACAGGTGTAGATCAGTGCAGGAGTCTCTCCCCGCTCTCTCAAATGTAACAAGCATCCAATGGGAGGTGGTTTTTATGATTTGGGGATGGAGGAGGCCTTCCTGAACGAGATGTAAGATCCAGGAGCCATTAAACCGGAAGTCAGCAGACCTGACAGCTTCGCATTCAGCCACCTGCAGCCTCTGCAGGGAGAAATTCTCCAGACACAAAGAGGCCAGGGCCCGTCTGACAGCAGCAGTGCAGGCTCAGTGCCTCGGGCGGGCGTGGAAGACGCTGATACAAATCAATACGAAGAAACAAAACCGAACAGCCCCATGGAAATACAGGCACAGGCCAGGAGCAGAGGATTCCCCGGCAACAGCAGAGGCGGGTGGCTGGGGGAGGTCTTGGAGCTGGGGATGCTGAGGGTGAAGAAGCCCAGAGATGAGGGTTCTCCCCTAGGCAGTGGGGCGGGGGCGGGGGCGGGGGTGGACGTGGGCGTGGCTGGCCGGATGGGCGGTCAGGATGAGGCTGGGGAAAGATGACCATGCCGGGTTCTCAGGCCCTGGGCAGCTGGGGAGGCAGAGGGGGGCAGGTTCACATCAGAGGGATAGCCCAACCAGCAGCTGGCACGGCCCCACCCTACCCTGCTCAGCTGGGCTTTGTCCATTGATGTTGGGTGGGGGGAGGGGCTCAGCTGATCTAGCCGCTCCCCGCCCGGGAGAAGGACACACTGGGGGGGGGGGTCAGACCCAGAGTGGAGGTCCCCCAAGTTGGGGCAGACACAGGTGCGACCCCAGAGCTGATGGGACCAGAGGACGCCCACCCCAGCACCTGGCCAACTCCTGTTCACACCCACTGTCCACCAGAGGGGGCACACTGAGGCCCAGGGGAACCTGAGGGTGGACCCCCCTGCCCTCCGCAGGTGGGGCGAGGTGCAGAGTGGGAGCTGAGGCTGGGTGGGCAGAGGAGCAGGGCGGTCCCCGGCACTCCCCGCCTTATCTCCGCAGTACTTCTGGCTGCTGGTGCTGTCCCGGGGGCTGGTGGGCATCGGCGAGGCCAGCTACTCCACCATCGCGCCCACCATCATCGGCGACCTGTTCACCAAGAACACACGCACACTCATGCTGTCTGTCTTCTACTTTGCCATCCCGCTGGGCAGGTGAGGGGGAGCCGCCGGGCTTGGGTGCTTTGCGCTGATGCCCACCCCTTCCCCCGGGGCCCGGGCCTGGGTGTGTGCGTGTGCAGCCCCAGCTAACACACATCTGTGTTCCCTGCAGCGGCCTGGGCTACATCACCGGCTCCAGCGTGAAGCAGGCGGCTGGGGACTGGCACTGGGCCTTACGGGTAAAGCTGCTCCCCATGTCCCACAGTGAGGCAACCCCGACTCTCGCCCTAGCTAGGGTCTCCTGAAGACAGCGTGGGCCAGGGTGGAGGTCTCCATCCATCCAGAATGAGGTGTCCGGAAGCAGCCCCCCACCCCTGCCCTCAGGGTTGGCCCTGGCCCCCCCTCCCCCCCGGGAGTCGCAGGTTGGCCAGATGAAGGATTCTCTCTGTATCCGGAAATTCCAGGACCACGGTGTGGCTTCCTGCTTCCAGCCTGGGCACTGTGCTAGCCCGGGGCTGGGGCCAGGCCTCCGCACGGGGCCCCCGGGGGTCTGGAGCCACTTCCGGTCCCACCAGAGGGATTGGGGCAGGTTACCAAGGCCCCAGGACAGCGCAATCGGAGGAAACAGAGATCCCCAGTCTGTCGGAGGAGCGGAAGCTTAAGACAAAGTGTTTTTTCCTCAAAAGCAGGAAGGAAGCAGCCTCCGTGGAATTTGGGGGTGGGGGGGGCGAGGGGATGCATGGAGAGGGGCTCCCAGGCTGAGTGGGGGTGGGGTTGCATTTCTCAGGGCTGGTGGAGGGGATGAAGCCCGGGCCCCAGACCCGTGAGCCCTGTCCTGGGGGCTCTACCTGCTGTATCAGGTGGGAGCTGTGTGTTCAGGCAGGCCTGGTGGCCTGGCGTCTCGTTCTCTGTCCCCAGGGACTTGCCCTCTTGCCCCCGGTTGTCGTCCCATGTGTCTGTCCGTCCGCTGTCCACGCGCCCAGCCACCCGGTCTTCGAGCCCCCTTCCCTCTGTCCAGTCTCTCCTCCCTTCACCTGTCCGTCCCTCCCATCAGCCTTCCGTGCACCTTCCTGCGAGTCCTACCTGGGGTCTGGACAGCCTGCTTGCAGTCCCCAAGCCCTTCCCTGGCCTCGTGGCCAGGGGTACTGCCTGCTAGCCCCGTGAGGAAGGCTGGGCGGGAGCCAGCCCAGGGAGGGCACTGGGGGCTCAGAGACGGCCGGGCTTGCCTGAGCCCCTCCTGCGGTGGCAGGGACAGAGCTGGCTGGGCCCTGGTGTCTTCACCTTGTACGCCTTGCCCCACCAGGTGTCCCCGGTCCTGGGCATGATCACGGGAACGCTCATCCTTGTGCTGGTCCCAGCCACTAAGAGAGGCCATGCTGACCAGCTCGGAGGGCAGCTCAAGGCCCGGACCTCGTGGCTCCGAGACATGAGGGCCCTGATCCGAAAGTGAGTACTGCTGGGGGTGGGGGGAGGTGGTGTGGTCTCCTGCAGGTGGGCTCGCTGCCATTCTGCTGGCCCCTGGGCCACCAGTGACGCTTTGGCTGCTGGGAGTTTTGGTTCTGGCAGCCTGAGCCCTCACTCCCAGATCTTGTGAGGGGTGGCATTCGAGACCTTCTGTCTACCAGGAGGTGTGGGCCAGTGGGTCAGGAGAAAGGAGGCCGCCCCCTGGGCTCTGACTGGGGCGGCCAGCGGCAGGTGGAGGCGTCCCAGTCCCAGCTCAGAGCCGCTGCCCTGGCCTCTCCCCAGCCGCAGCTACGTCTTCTCCTCCCTGGCCACGGCGGCCGTATCCTTCGCCACGGGGGCCCTGGGCATGTGGATCCCGCTCTACCTGCACCGCGCCCAAGTGGTGCAGAAGACGGCAGAGACCTGCAGCAGCGCCCCCTGCGGGGCCAAGGACAGGTGGGCAAGGGGGCGGGGCGAGGGAGAGCGGACAGGGCAACCCCTGCCCACCCCACCCCCAACCCGTGCTCCTCTGCCCTCTGTCCCCACAGCCTCATCTTTGGGGCCATCACCTGCTTCACGGGCTTTCTGGGCGTGGTCACGGGCGCAGGAGCCACGCGCTGGTGCCGCCTGCGAACCCAGCGGGCCGACCCTCTGGTGTGCGCTGTGGGCATGCTGGGCTCCGCCATCTTCATCTGCCTGATCTTCGTGGCCGCCAAGAGCAGCATCGTGGGTGCCTATGTGAGTGCAAGGGGGTGCGGAGTGATAGGGGAGCTGGGCCAGAAACATGGGCAGCCTCGCTGTGTCCATGGCCAGTCCAGGGACTCTGGGAGCCCTCAGGACAGTGGGCGGGTCTTGAAGTCTCTGAATAATCTCGGATTCTGCTGGGAGATGTGGGGCAGGGGTGAGAGGCTTTGGGGGCGGCGTGGGGTGGCAGGGCCCCTGACGGCGGTCACACTCTGTGCCGGCAGATCTGTATCTTTGTCGGGGAGACGCTGCTGTTCTCTAACTGGGCCATCACGGCAGACATCCTCATGGTAAGCCAGGCGGCCGAGGTGGCTGCGTGCAGACTTGGGCCTCTTGACCTCACCCGGGTGGGGGTTGGGGGGTGGCTGCGGCAGGGAGTGGAAGGAAGGGATCAGGGGTTTGGGGTGTGTGTAAGGGCCTGCCCTGAGAACAGAGCGCTGAGCAGGCAGATGGGGCGGGCTGTGGGGGCTGGGCGCATCTCGAGGCTCAGGTTTGTGGCTGGTAGTGCCAGGCTGGCACGGAGGTGGTGCTGCCTGCCAGTGAGCCTCCTCCAGGGTCTGAGCCGCCATGGACCCGCCTCTCCCAGCTCCGCCTGGGTCCCAGGCGTGCCTGCCCGAGTGCCTGCGGCTGGCCAGGGTGGACAGAGGCTGTCTTCACAAGGCCAACAAAGGGCTCCAGACCAGCCAGGCACAAAGGGCTCTGTCTGAGCGGCTGGCCGGCCGGGGCCTGTCCCCCTGGGCGGGGACCGGAGCAGGGTGGGAGGAGCCAGGAGGGGGTTGTGTGGCAGAGTAGGGTTGATGTGACACCTGCTCCTACCCTCCAGGCTGGGGCTGGGAGGGGACTCAGAGGAGACAGTGCAGGGACCAGTGGTGGGGATGTGGTCTGGAGGGGCCAGGCGGGCCCTGGGCAGGGTGGGAGGATGCTTGAGAGTCCAGGACAGGAGCCTGGGCCCCAACGGCCCCCCGCCAGCTCCTCCTCAGGAAGCCTTGCCCTGGCCTGGCCTTCCCTGCACACCTGTTACCCCAGGGCTGCCTCTGTCCATGGGCTTGGGGGGAGGGGGGACGGTGTGACTCAGCTCTGGCCTCAGTGTGGAGCCAGGCAGCGTTACGGGTGGAGTGGGTTACCGCGCAGGCCATGGGTGAAGGTGGGAGCAAGTAGTGTCGGAATCCAGTGCCCTTCCCTCCCCTCCACCCCCTTGCAGGGGCAGCCCTACCAGGGTCTGGGTCCCAGAGAAATCTGTCCCAGTTTGTGTCACAGCCAAGTGACTAATTAGTGCTAGAAACGGGGCCACACTGTCTCATCAGATCCAGGTCTCTTCCTGCCCTTTCAGCCTCCCCCCGAGGAGGGTGCCCCATGGGCACTGCTGCCCTCACACGTGGTCCACGAAGGCGGGGCCGGAGCTTAGGGGTGGAGGGCGGCTGCCGGGGCCCAGGGCTGGTTCTCGGGAGCTGGATCTGCAGCCTACTGGTGCCTGGCATCATGGGATAGGCGGGGGCCCTCCCAGGCTGAGTCCTGCCTCAGGCCAGCTGTCAGCCTAGCTGGGTCGGCATCGGGGGAGAAAACCAGGAGACTTCAGCTGTGAGAGGCGCGGGTGCCTTGGGGATGCAACGTCTCTGGGCCTCAGCGTCCCCAGGACCAGAGCCCAGTGCGGGACAGCAGGCAGCTTGGCCACACAGCAGAGGGCGAGCTGGCGGAAGCTTCGCCATGTCGTATCCCCCCAGGAGCCAGGGTGACCCCAATTTCTTCTCCCCTTGACTGGATGTGGAGGCGGGACAGGTGGAGGCGGTGGCCTGGGCTGGGGATGCTCCGGGTGGGAGGGGCAGAGCCCAGGTCCCCAGCGAAGCAGAGATGGTCAGGAAAAAGGCCAGGGGCTGGGTGTCTGGGAGCGAGGGAGCCCTTGCCCACTGGCCTGTGCCTCTCCGCAGTATGTGGTCATCCCTACCCGGCGGGCCACGGCCGTGGCCCTACAGAGCTTCACCTCGCACCTGCTGGGGGACGCAGGCAGCCCCTACCTCATTGGCTTTGTGAGTAGCCCAGCCGGGGGGGGGGGGCTCCCGGAGGTGGCCTGCTTTAACCACCCCCCCACCCCCCCGCAGATCTCGGACGTGATCCGCCAGAGCACCAAGGACTCGCCGCTCTGGGAGTTCCTGAGCCTGGGCTACGCGCTCATGCTCTGCCCCTTCGTGGTGGTCCTGGGGGGCATGTTCTTCCTCGCCACCGCGCTCTCCTTCCTCAGCGACCGCGCCAAGGCCGAGCAGCAGTGAGTGGCAGGGGGTGGGGGTGGGAACCGCCCCTCGGCTCCCAGCTCACAGGCCTGGGCCTGGCCGGGCCACCCTTGGTCGTTGGGGACTTGGGGTTTTCTCAGCAGGGACCCCTCCTATTCTTCTTGTTTCCTGACTTCTTTCTCTTCTGCTCTTTCCTCTCTCTCCTCTCCTCTCCCTACCCCTGGGCTCTCCCACCTCCCCCTGGGGCTGACGAGGTCCCTGCCCAGCACCTCCGCTCCGCTGGCCCCCGCGATGCCACGTACCAGAGCTGTGCCCGGCCCCCGCTGACGCGCCACCCTGACCCCCGCCCGTCTCTCCCCCAGGGCGAACCAGCTGGTGATGCCGCCCGCATCCGTGAAAGTCTGAGATGGTGAGTGCAGGCCAGGCCGCTGGGCGCTGCAGCCCTCCTCCCACCAGGGCCTGCTTACTGACAGCTGGCAGGGGTGGGGAGCAGCTCCTTCCAGTAACCCCGCAGGCTCCCCCCTTCCCAGGGCAGGGGCACAGGTCAGGGCTGCACTGGCCAGGAACTCCCTGCTGTTTGGACTGCAAGTCCAAAGTCCTCATGGAGGTGCCAGCGGTTCACTCCTACTTGGAGTGGGGGCTGTAGCTTCCCAGCAGTGCACATCCCGGGGTCATGGCCCCTGAAGCCGGGCAATAGGCCTGTTTTCCAAACAGCAAGGGAAGCCAATGGGTGGGGGAAGCTTGGAACGGTGCCCAGACCCCTCCCCTGACCTGGATCCCTTTCCCCAGGTGCTGCTGGGACCATGACGACTCCACCCACCTCCCTGACCTGGGAGGTGTCCTCCAGCATCCTGGACCTGCTAGGCTCTCCTCAAGCCGCCTGTGTGACCCATGGCTGGGTCCCCACCCTCTCTGGGCGGGGAATGCTGAGTGGCCCTGGCTCCAGGAGGCCGTGCCCTCGGTTAACCAGGAAGGCTTTGTGTGTTGGAGCCACGCGGCTGAGCGGACTCCTGGTTTTGGGTCTGGGCCACAGGGGCCCTGGAGCCAAAGACGACTGCCTCGAGTGGGATCTCCAGCAGAGCCTGGCCCGCTGCCGACCGATGTGACCTTGGGCAAGTCCCTGCCCTCCCGGGGCCGCGGGGTCAGGGGGCTGGACTTTCCCACGCAGCCTGCCTGCCAAGGCACACTCCACCGCTGGGAAGAGCCACTGGAGTCTATAGCACGCGCAGGAGGGACGGCCCCGACTTCAGGGCGACAGTTCAGGTGCTGAGGCTCCCGAGGGGACACTGGACTCCACCTGGCAAATGGAGCTGGCCACTTGTCCCGGCTGCCCCGGGCTGGCTCTTAGCCTGGCAGGCCTGTGGGTGGGGGCCATCCCAGCAGGGGGCTGGCATCCCCAGAAGGCCCTGGCAGCAGCTGCACACATCTGTGCCCCAGGCGAGACCTCTGGGTTCCTTACTCGCCTCTGTGCGTAGGGCCGTGGCCCTTCGAGCACCTCCACTGTCCACCCCATCCCTGAACCCACTGCTTTCCCCCAGGCCGGGCCTGCGCCAAGGGCAGGGCCCAGGGGACCATTCCCAGAATCTATGGGGCAGGGGCCAGAGCTCTGGCTGCTGTGGCAGGAAGCAGCTATCTGCCTGGCTTCCTCCCTGAGACCCAGCTTCTTGGAGGCCCCCAAACACCAGCTGCTGTAGATCATGCACATGGACACACTCGACAGCTTCCCCAGGCCTTCCCCTCACTCCCATCTGCACCCTTACAGACCCTTACAGCCACGCCCGGGTGCAGCTGCCAGGTTCACACCAGCCCCCCCACCCTTGCTGCACTCAAGGTGCTTCTGGTCGAGGGGCGACCTTGCGGCCAGGAGTCCCCACCAGCTGCCATGGACAATGCTCTCTGCCCCTTAGCACCCGGCCGGCTGTGGCTTCAGTGGTGTGCAAGCTAGTGCCCTGCCCCCACCCTGCCGAGCTCTGGGGCACCCTGGGGGCCTGACCCTCCCCCCAAGACCACCCTGGCTCCCACCTCTGCCTTGGCCGGGGCCCCAGCGATGTTTTCTTGTTGTACAAGAACCAGGTCCAAGTGTTGCCTCCTCTTCCTTCCGGAAGCCAAACTGCTCCTTTATTTTTTAGAGCTGCTCATTGTGAATCTCAGAGTCTTAAGAGAAGCCAAATATATTCCTCTTGTCGACGGAGAAATAAACCTATTTAAATGAGGCCTGTGGCTCTGGTAGCACAGTGGGGGGGCAGGCCTGTCACCTGCACGGCCCCTGCCAGGCCCACGGCGCCGCCCCTCAGGGGCGGAGCCAGAGGCTGCAGCTTGTATTAAAATTACCGTGAAAAAATAGGCGTCTCTGGGGCTGCTGGGGGGGTGGCAGGGGGGTTGTGCTCAGGGCGTTCGCACCTTCGCCTTCTTCTTCTTGGCCCCGCTCTGGAACAGGAGCGGCCCCCTGGTGGACAACGACAGCCTGGCCTTCTTCCGGGGCAGGGCCGACTGGGGAGACTTGCCGGAGACCCCCTTTTTGGGAAGGGCCTTGGGACGCTGCTTTTCACCTGCAGGCTCCGTGGGGGACGCGAGAGCGGCTCCATTCACCTGGGCTGGCTTCTGGGGCTTCGGGGTCCTGGCCGGGGTGGCAGCAGGGGCGGGACGCTGCTTTTTACCTGCAGGCTCCGTGGGGGACGCGGGAGCGGCTCCATTCACCTGGGCTGGCTTCTGGGGCTTCGGGGTCCTGGCCGGGGTGGCAGCAGGGGCTGGACGCTTGGCAGGGGGTGTTCCGTTGACCTGGGCCTGGGCAGGAACTTTGGCCTTCGTCTTCTTCCTCTTCTTGCCTGTGCTGGGGGGTGGGTCTGCAGCAGCAGCCGCTGGCTTGGCTTCCTTGGGCTCCTCTTGTGCGGCTTCCTCAGACTTGCGTTTCTTACGCTTCTTAGTCTCGGGCAAGAACCCCTTCTTCTTCCGCTTCATGCTAACAGGGCTCTGGGGAGCCCTGGGGGCTTCTTTGGCATCCTTCTCCTGCTTGGGGCGCCTGGAAGGAAGGGAACAAGGTAAGAGGAGCGTCCAGGGACGACAGGAACCACTGCCGCTTGGTGGTCGCAGGGGACCCAGGCCACCTGGAGCGTGTGCCGCCCCTCCCCAGGGTGGAGCCTCCCGCGGGCACTTACTGAACCCCCAGGCTCTTCATGGCCTGCCAGTACAGGTCACATAGGCGGCTGGAGCTCCCCGACTGTGGCCCCTTCTGCCAGCTCTGTGCCAGGTTCTGCTGGCCCTGCAGCACGCCCAGGAGCCCGGTGAGGTCCACAGTCAGCTTCTGCGGAGGCAAGAGAAGGCTGGGGCTCTCCCCGGATCCCGGCCCTGTCCCCCAACTCTTGCCCAGGTACTGCCTCTCCAACAGCCCCCGGTGCGCACTGGGACCCTCAGCCACTCCTGCAAATCCTGGGTCTTTCTCCACTGGGGAGGAAATGGGGTCGGCCGGCCGGAGCCCCCCGCACAACAGCAGCTTCTGAGCCTTGCCTGATGCTAACACCGCTGAGCCCGGACTCCTGCCCCCTCCAAGTGCTGTGCTGGCCCAAACCCTGCTCACCCCTCTTTTAGGCTGTGACCAGCACCTCCTCCCGGGGCACTGGGAGCTGTAGACCCCACCCCTCCGTGCCTCCAGGTGTGCCACCCTGACACCTGGGACCAGCCCCAGCTCGGCTCAGCTCCTCACCGCCCCTCCCACTAGCTCCAGCCATTCCTGGGGCTTCTCATGCCACTCCCACTCCCACCCTCCCGACACCGGCACCGCCTGGCCCAGGCAGGGTCCCACAACCGCCCAGGCTCACCTCGTGACTGACGGCCCTGAGGACACTGTTGAGCAGCTCCAGGGACGACCGCTCCTTCTGCTGCTCAGACTTGGTCTGTGCCGTCCCCAGGGCCCGCAGGTTCTGGGCAAGAGAATGGGGTCACTTCCTTGCACCCCCAAGAGTGACCCAAGACCCTCCCGAGGAAGATGGAAGCCAGAGGGAGGAGTGTCCCTGAAGACGGCCAGATCCCAAGGCCCCCTCCCTGACGGCCGTACCTCAGTGAGCCGCGCCACGACCTGGCCTATCAGCTGCCTCCACTCGTGGTCCTCAAAGCACTGCTTCAGCTCCCGCATGGTCAGAGTCCTCTGGAGCAGCAGACAGGCCTGGACCTGGGACAGGGACAAGGCGGTCATCAGGGGCTGCTGCCAGATGAGGGGGACACCGAGGCCTGGGGCAGAGCCTCAAATGCCCAGTGTCCTCCATACAGTTCCCAGTGTGCACCCCCAAGTGCTCCGCCCCCTTGGCACTGCGGGTGGGTGCTGGGCCACAGCAGTACTCTTGGGTAACTAGGCAGGCCCTGGGCTGGGATCCAGGAAGTCGCTTACCTGGTTGTGAGGCCGTGTTGAACCTGCCAAGTGCTGGACCAGGGCCGGGAGCAGGCTCTTACAGATCACCTGCGGGGGGCAACAGGGACCATAAGGTGGGGACCAGGCTGGGCAGGGGTGTGGGGGAGGTGGCCAGAGGTGGTGCTGGCACTCACCGGGTAGCGGGAGAAGAGACTGAGGAACATGGGAACGGTCAGCGGGCTGTTGCGCTTGGTCAGGAACGAGCTCAGTGCGGCCGAGTACACCGAGGTCACGCGGTTCAAGTCCAGGCAGCTGGTAGCCTGGGCCAGGTCAGAGAGCTGGGGTGAGACCAGGAGAGTCCGCGAGAGTCACAGCCCCGCTGCCCCGCTGGTGGCGCCCAGGGCGGCACGCACTCACCTGCGGGCTTCGGGTCTTGGGCTTCTTCTGGCTCTTCTGCGTGCACTTCTCAGCCGGGCTGCCCTTCAGCACCCGCAGCAGGTAGAGGGAGCCATTGAAGTGGTAGAGGGCGACGGAGGAGTCGGCCTGGCGGCCAGCTCGCTGCACCAGCTGCTCCAGCTGCGTGTGCACGGCCTCCGCACGGCCACCCACGTCCTGGCAGCAGCGCCGCGCGCGGAACAGGTGGTCCCTGTGGGAGGGGGCTGAGCTGACCACCTTGCTCTCTGCCCAGCAGAGCCAACCCGAGGAGAGGGATCTCAAGTCCCTTTTCACTGGTGGGGAAGAGACCCAGAAGAAATGGGATTTGACCAAGGCTGCAGAGGGGACAGGCCTGGCCCCGGGCTCCCATCTGCACTCCTCTGCTGTGGGTCAGTGGACTCCAGCTCTAGACACGAGTCCAGGGCCTGTGTGCTCAGAACCCACCGTGGACGGCAGGCTGGGGACAAAGTGGGGACACTCGTCTGCACACACGGATGCTGGGCCGGCATGGGCTGTGTTGGAGGTGACTGGCAGTGACCCTCCCTCTCCTCCGCCCCCTCCCCAGGCCGTGTTGGCATTGGTTGTCTCTCCGATGCCTGCAGCTGCTCTCGGCCTACAGTCAGCCCTTCCAAACGCTTTTCCGTCCCAGACCCCTGCGTGTGAGGACCTGTGTGCCTCTAGGGCTGCAGTGGCCGGGGTTCACGCCTTGGCCCCCCGGAAAGCCCAGCTCTCTGGAGCCCCGGGAGCTCCCACCCGCCCCGCGGCGCTCACGTGAAGATGCGGGCTGTCTTGTGCAGCAGGTCACGCTCCTGCTTGCTGCTGCCGCCGCTGCACCGGATGATGCTCAGCAGCGGCTCGATCAGCTCCAGGACCAGGGGGTGCTCGGGCTGCTTGGTCACCAGCACCTCGACCAGGTCCAGCACCTGCGGCCGGGAGGGGCGGGTGAGCCCACGCACAGCCGGGGCCGGGGAGGGCGCCATGGGGCTGGGCGCCGGGGGGCTGGCTCCTCACCCGGATCTGGAAGTCCCGCCGGAGCGCCTTTTCCTTCTGCAACTTGTTCTTCTCATCCCGCCGCGCCTGGATGCGCAGCTTCTGCTCGGCGAAGAGGCTGGCGAGGTTCTGGTCCAGCGCCATCATGGCGTCATCCCCCAGCTCCTCCCCATCGTCCTCACTGTCCGCGCCACCCTGAGGGGAGAGGCCCACGGTCAGCCTGGTCGTGGAGGGCACGTGGCAAACACGGCCTCGCGCCGACCCCCGGCTCCCTGCTCACCAGCGCCTTCCCGGCTCGCAGCACTTCCATCAGCTGCTCCCGGAAACCCGGGTCCACATCCCCGTCGCGCTCCTCCTCCTCGCTCTCGTCCTCGTCCTCCTCGTCCTCGTCCTCTTCCCCCTCACTCTCCGAGTTCTTGTCGTCATCCTCGTCCTGGTCCTGAGAGGCCAGAGTGTCACCCTCCCCTCTGCCCCTGGGCCTGTCCGCAGCTGCCCCCCGGGCCCTGCCCCCTCCAGCACCTCCACACTCCTCGCTTGCTTCCCAGCGGCGACGTCGGTCACCACCACGTTGTCGTCCGCATCCTGGCCGCTCTCGGGGTTCACCACCTACGAGGAGACCAGGACGCTGCCCTCTCTGCCCCCCTCAAAGTGCTGGGCCTCTGGCCGCCTGCCCCGCTCAGGCGCTGTCCACAGGATGCCGAGAGCAGGCTGGCACGGCAGCTCAGACTCTCAGGCCACGGTGAAGAGGCCAAGGGGGCAGTGACGTGGCCTCCACAGAACAGACCAAGGTACTTGGCGAACCCCACCATGGGATCCGTTTCCCAAGGGCCCCAACTCACAGCCAGGATCAACTGCAGGGCCCGTGGAGTCAGGTGGGGGCAGATGTGGCCAAACACACTCCGGGCCACCTGGCGCATCAGGTGGCTGGGCTGCGCCAGCAGGGACAGCAGGATCTCCACCATCACCTCCACCCACGGCGGCTCCTGGGTGCCTGCAGCGGGGAGAGGGCGGAGCTGGGCAGGGCGCCGTGGACCTAGCTGAGCCCCGGGTCCCTCTCATGCTTTTTTGGCTGTGCCCTGCCCACCCTGGCCCAGGAGCTGTGACCCACTGATGGCCTTGGAACGGGGTCGCTGGGCCTTCTCCTCCATGCTCTTCTTGATGCAGGCCTGGATGTCCCCGAGGAGGTCACAGCTCTCTGTAGGAGACTGTAGGCAAGGCAGGACAGAATCAGGGGCCTGGTCCTGCTCCCAATCCTTACAGACCTGGGTGAGAGGCTGGCCCGGCTGTCACCAGGGGTCCAAAACAGAGAAGTCTGCAGCATCAGAGCTGCGCTTTTGCGCACCTGCGATGCAGTTACATGACCCACCAGTGCCCAGCAATCAGTCCCCAGGTTCCTCGCAGGCCTCCAGAGAGGCCTAGCCTGACAAGGCCAGTGAGAGGCACCAG